AAGGTGTGTTTCACTGTGTAGATATAGGTGGGTAGGAAAGAAATTGATTGGATAAGTTAGACCGTGTCTCCATTACAGAGACTATACAGGCATAGCTATGTTGGTGTAGCTATACCAGCATACCTCTGTAGTGTAAATGCAGCCTACACTGATGGAAAGGGTTTTTCCTTCAGTGCAGGAACACCACTTCCCTGAATGATATTAACTATGTTGACAGAAGCATTCTTCCATTGACGTAACTGCATCTACACTAGGTTGGCATAGCTATCGCAGTCAGGGAATGGATTTTTCACACTCCTGAGCAACATAGCTATGCTGACCTAACAAACATTTAAGTATAGGTCAAGCCACAAAAGAGTAGCAGTGTGAAAGAGAATTGGGGAGGAAGTGAGAGGTTAGAAATGTAGGGGAGTAGGTGGACCACACAATGGAAGGAAAGGAATAGAAGAGAAAATAACAGATGCTGAAAACAATATAGGGGGAAAAAACGTATAACTGAGGTTGTAAGAAAGCAGTGAATTTTTTGGTTCAAATGTTGCAGCCAAGGTTTGCTAAAGTTGTAGTTTTGGTGTGGGCCTATTGTGCTAGGCAGTGGCATCATATACAGACACAGTAAGAGAAAGGCACTGCATGAGGAAGAGATAAGAACCAGCTTTGTCAGCTCCCCCACACTGAGGTCTCTCCCATGTTGGGGAAATCCCCAACAGGGGACTCATAAGTGATCCAAAGTGAGCAGATTGGGGCACAAAATCTGCTCCACTATTTCGAGAGTTTTCTGTTTTCTGGCTGATAAGACTGATGACATACACAAAACACATCAATGGGCTGCTACTTTGTCTTCATTGCAGTTAAAATGCAATTTATTTATAAGAGATGCAAGGTGCCCCCTACAATGGCAAGTGTAGTATGTTCCAAGTTCAGATGTGAAGGTCAATGGTGCACAGACAGCAAAGTCACCAACACTGAACTATATTGGCTTTTGCTCCATTAGAACTAAAGAAAAATATTGTTAGCCAAATTGAAAAGAATAAATCACTGTGCCCAATCCTATGAGATCTCTTCACAGGAAACTCCCAGTGACTTCACTGCTCAGTACTACCGAGTTACCCGGGGGGGGGGGGGGGGGGGGGGGGGGGGAAGGAATATTGGATATACCAAGGTACAGACTTAGCTAGTCCAGAAAACACACTTCAACAAGTGCCATCACCCTACTAGTTACTGATTTTTGACAGCTCATAAATTGTCTTGAAATTCAGGGAGTGTCTGCAACATTTGTAGCTACCCAACTGCACCCTAAAGAAGTTAAAATGAATTCAGGCTGACCACAGTAAGTTAGCTTAGACATTAAATGTAGTTCGAAGTATGAGATTTCGAACACATTAGATTATAGAGGCTCTCTCACGATCCTCATACTCTATTATTGGCCAAATGGAGCTCATTGCAGGACTAGATTTTTTTTCCCCTCATAGAATATTCATTATTAGAGATAGCCAGGAAACAGACTTTCAGGCTTGCAAAAAACTTCAAGTCTTGAGGGAAAAAAATTGTCCTGAATCAGGATGAACCTCCAAAAACAAATTTTCACAGACCTGGAAGTTTGCCAGATTTCATTTTAGAATCACCATTCTAGAATCTGCCTGGCTTCTGCTGAATATTCATCAAAATTGACAAGTTCCAATGGAAAGTGTTGATCTGACAAATCAGCATTTTCCAAAATTTCCAACTGTTCACTATCTTTTCCTGCCCTCTCAACAGTACACTTATTATAAGACTTGCTTGGTATTGCAAAGAAGAGATTGTCCCTTTTCTCCATAGCATGTAACGTGGGTAACGCAGTGTAAGATGTATAATTTTATGGTAACATATTACTTGTCGCTTTGTTACCCTTTTAAGGCCCGATCCTGCAAACACAATGGGACAATTCATGAACGTACATGTCCTCACAGGTACAAGTGTTTACTGGGTCAGACCTTTAGGAAGAATAACTGTGCTTTAACCTTTCATACCAGTTCTTTATTTCCACACATACGCCTCTCCTTTTCTCTTCCATTTTTATGTATTTAACTTCTTAAAATCCACGTCTCTAGGTTCTCAACACTACTTATAAGTGAACCACACTGGGACTGAGGTAGTGCTCATTCACAAATCTGTATTTCCATGTATGAACTGAACTTTTATTTTATAACTGTGGCCTATGCATATCCATCACATTTAATGTTGCAGACCACAAGCTGCCTGTATTGCTTTCAACAAAATGTAAAGTTTTAAATTAATAGATACAGCATAACTCACTACCCTATTTCTCAATTTAAAATATTCCCATTGTTTGTTTCACCCTTACTTACATGATCATTTCCATCATTAGATCTTTTGCTTGTAAGGCGCAGTTAATTTTTTAATCCAAAAAAATATAAATTAGGAGGTGGGAGGAGAAGAAAACTCTGTATATACAGCTCAAGTGATTTTCTCAAACACGTCTTTAAAAATACTGGGCCTCAGGATATGTCTAGACTTCTCCCAGCATAACTATGTCCCTGACCAACATAGCTGTACCAGCAGAAGTCCGTAGTGTAAACACAGCTATATTGGCAAAGCTGTGCTTTTATCAGTATAACTTATTTCATTTATAGGCAGTGGTTTTACTATGCCGGCATTTTTCTTACTTTGCCTATGCTGTCTTATCGATGGATATATTTTTGGTTGTTTTGTAAGTATACAAACTGCAGCTTTGCCAGGATAGCTGCACCCACACTAGGAATAGTATAAGGCAGTGAAACTCAGACCTCAGTGGTTCAGGAGCCAAATTAGCGATCAACATTACCCAAAAGAGCCACAGTGGTGTGAATGACAGGGGAAATATTTAGTTTTTATATATTATTCTCACAGCAAGTAAATTAATAACTTAGTGCAAGTTGATAACTTAGCTGGTTGATAACACAGTAAAAGCATCCTGATTGATTAATAACTTAGATTTATTAATAATTAAATCAGAGTGTTTTAATATCATGTGCTGCAAAGAGCAGGAGACACATTAAAGAGCCACTTGCGGCTTGAGAGGCACAGTCTGATTATCACTGATACAACTGGTATTTCTGTAGCGGTAAACTGCTCCTAGTGTAGACACGGCCTCATGAGTCTTCATTCACTGCAATGCATGTAGTCATTTCCACTAGTACAATGTAGGTGCAGCACACCACTAAAAACAGACAGTAGCAATTTACACTCCCTTTGCACCAGTATAAGCAACTATACAAAGTACAAGGCAACAGAGAATCCAGCCCTTTATTTTTTGTATAATCATTTTATACCTTAAAGTGAACTCTGGGATCAAATTTAGCTCCAGAATGAGAAAACACACACAATTTCACAAAATCTAAGATCAACATAAATGTTTTCTACTAGTGGAAAGAGTTTTAAAATATACATAATAATTATTCCTTCTACAAAAAATGACTTGCTGGAGCAAGGCCTTAAAACTGTTTATAGCTGGTTTTGTCAAGTGAAAATGATTAGACAGTTTCCATTGTCTACACCGAGAGAAATGCAGAAAGTAAACATAATAAAAAAGTAAACACTGATTTTAAAAGTTCTTTCAATTTTAATAAAAAAAATTATTAGAAACAAAGGTAACATTTTTGTTTAGCTGGTTTTTAAAGATATGTTTCTTAATGTGATATTCTCCCTGGAACTGGGCTTTTAGGAAGCTGTTTCAGCACAAAGTGGATTGTATATGGACAGAAGAGACAAATAATACAGCAACTGCGTCAAGGACTAGCAAAAGTTGCTCATCACAAGTGATCTTTAAGTAATGATTGAATTAGAAGCTACAGGGATACTTTATGACAGGGCTGTGTTGGCTCCCTTGGCCCACCATATGAAATAAAAACTTATCCTTGTCTTCAAGGATCTACATAAATCTATTGTAGCCTAATCATTGACCCCTTGTCTCATCACATTCTCTCACCCTTTCTCCTCAGCCTTCCAAATATGTCATCCCACTTGTCTCTTTCTTCCACACCACCAACTCCTAATTCCTGTTTGCCAAGCCCTGTTGTCATGCAAATCTCTTCTTAAATCACCTCCTAAAGGTGCCTTATGCTGATGTAGTTTGTTCCCCTTCCCATATAGGAATAAGCTATACTGATATAAACACATTTATACTGGTATAACTATCTACATTAGTTAAAGTGATAACACTTCTATGTATAGAGAAAGCCTACAACTCATTTCTCCTGTGATGCCTACAAGAAGTGAGTCAATAAAAAAGTTCCCTCACATGAGTCTCCCAATGCACCCCATTTTCTCTGGGACTGTAAACTCTGCAGGGCACGGGCTGTTTGTAATGTTGTGTCTGGTACAGCATTAAGCACATGGTTGACACTTAGGCCTCCAACCCCAGGCTGGCAGACCCTTGTGCCTCTGGGGAGTTCCACTGCATAACAAGCAGCAGAATCCAGGGCTTCACATTGGCAACAAGCAATGTGGGGTTTGCTTGTTAGGGTGGTGATCCTTAGGGCATTTTAAGTATTGGTCAATACAATTTATATTTAACCATCCAATTTAGGCAAACAGCACTCTGGGAGTTAAACTGTTGGAAGCTGGACATTGCACCTTTTCTTTTAATATTAATGACTATCCTTTGATTCATCAAGGAGATAAGCATTCAGTTGAGCCTATCAAGTTAACAACAGTCATTTGACTGTACCTTGCCCTGACTCCCCTTCCTGCTCTCCTCCGCTCCCTTTAAAAAAAAAACCTCCATTTCCAGGTAGGATTTTAAACATAACTTTAAGGGGAAAAATCCCATTTGTTAAGTAACGGTCAAACACAGATTAACACATTAATCTACTTAATCTGACCTCCCCCCCACTTGTTATTAGCGAACATAGCCCCACTCGTGTCGTGTGCACCACTCGCTAGTGAGATTGGTACATGGACTGAACTGCACTCCGGGGGTTAATGGCTTTGCCCCCGCATTCAACTGAAAGCCTCCTGCTTACCTGCTGCAGAGTTCAGGTTCCGCCTTCTGTGCCTTCTGCCGAACTCCCTCAGCTCCTCTTCCTCGTCCTCCAGCCGCCAGGCTTCAGCCATCAGCGAGGGGTGCAGGAGGGGGCATTTAGAAAGCAGGCACCCCCATGCCCAAGCGCAGAGAGCGCGCGACCGGGGGGTTCTTTGTCTCGCTCACTGAGTGAGCAGCGAACGCGCTGGAGCGGGGGCAAGCTGCGGTCCCCGGGGCAGAGCTGCCCTTCCGAGCCGCCCCACTCTGCACCTGCACCTCTTCTCTCGTCTGCCCCGGCAGCCGGCAACTCCCTGCAAATCTCTCGCCTTTTCACTCCGCCTCCCTCTTCTCTGAAGTTTAAGCCTAGGCGTGGAGGATCCTCTTTGGGCCTTTTCCTCTCCTCCCTTCCCCAGCAAGGCTCAGCCGGACGCAGGTTGGGAGGAGAGAGAGAGGCGCACCCACACAACCAGGTTGCGGAGGGAAGGGAAAGTTAAAGGAAAATGAAAGAAGGTGGCGTTTGCTTTTCCTGCCCATTCACAAGATTCCGGTGTCAACAGGAAACTCCACTGCTGCCTGACACTAAAACAAAAGGAGGAGGGGGAGGTACCTGGAGCAGAAAGCAGCAATCAGGGCTGCAGCATGCAAGGGAGGGAGCGAGCCTCAGCTGGGGAGGACGATGGACTCGCACTTGCAAGGCTGGAGTAGCTGAAAACTTTTATTTAGGGAAAAGGGACATGATTTTTTTTTCTGTATCCACATATCTCCAGGGCAGTCTCTCAAGCTGGTAGCATTTTGAAGGAGGGAGAGTTCTAAACAGTGCAGCATTGAGTGGGATTTTAAAGGTCCCTTCAAGAATGCAGCACATTCTTCCTCACCAGTGGGAAAGACCTTTAAAAACTGCTTTAAATAATCCAAAACAAGAGCCTCTGTTCAAATGAGACTTGGCTGATTTATGACTCCAGTCCCATTGTTGAAGCATTGTTGAAACTACATGCTGAGTTTACCCAGTACAAGCCCACTGAGCCATGTGTGGCAACCAGGGGTGTAAATCAGGGCAGAAAATAAGAGACTGGTGCCTGGTACCTACCTGTTTTAAAGGGTTAGTTTTATTTGCTATGATGAGCACAACAGTTCAGAAAAACATTTGCACTTTATGGTTAAGGTGAATTAAGTAGTAAAGGTTCTCACTGTGAAAAGTTAAAACCTACTCTTCTTATTAGCATATGCGCAATGTGCCTCAGGTGGACACCAGGATTCATTCATCACTGAATCTGGTCTGCTGGCTGCGAAAAAAGTTGGCAGTGCTTAGGTACCAATATGATAGGCACCTTAGAAATATCCAAGTTATAGAGTCTTTGGCTTCAGATTGTTATTATAGGTAGAACAAGTAGTGCTGCCTATAATTAAGGTTGCCTGACACAGGATGGATGGTGCTCTGGGGATGAACCAGGGTTATGTAGTGAAGGAGTCTAGATCTATAGGACCCCTGCCTCCTTTGTTGCAGGCATTGGTAGGTGTGTAGTTAATAAGGCAAGGAGCTGCAGAGAAAAAAGGATGGTCTTGTGGTTTAGGCAGTTTAATGCCCTTCAGATAACTAGACTCTCTCCCTGACTTTTCCATAGAGTTCCTGTGTGATGCTTGGGAATTAATTAAAACCAAACTTTTCATATTTTGTAAAGGGACCACTCAGTGCACAAGATGCACACTACTTTCAGTAGTGCAAGCTGAGAAGAACATGCTGCTTTATTCAACTATGTAACAAAGTGGTGGTGGGTGAAACTCCCACTAACTAAACAGGAAGTATGAGAATGGTGGAGTCTGACTACAACCCATAGTACTCTGAGTAATGCAGTTAACCCCTTGATGATCACTTTATTACTTCACAGGTAGTCTCTAATTGTGCACTCATTTTCTCGGTGCCTCACATGAAACCTGGAATTTAAGTTGCAGAAGCGCTGAGCACTCTCAGCTGTAAATGAAGTCAACGGGAGTTGTGCTTGAACATATGACATGTTATAAAATGCTATGTTCTCTGAAAAATCAGAGATTATTGTGTGTGATTATTTGGGGCTCTATGTACAACTTATACTGGTTGTAGTGATGTTGTAAAGTGGACCCACGATATTAGAGACAAAGCAGCTGAGGTAGTATTTTTTATTAGACCACTTTCTGTTGATGAAACAGACAAGCTTTCAAGCTATACAGAGCTAAAGGAGAACTCTGTGAAGCTTGAAAGCTTGTCTCTTTCACAAACAGAAGTTGGTCCTGTGACATTACCCCCCATAGTCCTTATGGAAATATTCTTATGATATGGATATGGCATAACTGAGATATTTTAAGATGGGCCTTGTAGGTATCATCGGAAAGGTTATTTACTGAATGTGATTATCCAATTTGTATGCATGTATCATTTCTGTATCTGAAGTTAGGAATATTGACTATGTAAAATTACAACTGTGATAAATGAAGGGAGAGGGGGTAGCTCCCTTTTGTGGACGCCCAACCAACCAGTAGCTATAAAATCCCTCTTAGGAGCTGTTCTCTAATTGCTCTACCTGTAAAGGGTTAAAAAGTCTCACTGCTATGCATAGGTAAGAGGAAGTGAGTGGGCACCTGGCCAAAAGAGCCAATGGGAAGGCTATAACTTTTTAAAATTGAAACAAGATTCCCTTTTTGTCTGTCTGCTCTCAGGGAGAGGCAGACAGGGACCAGTTATGCTGTGAGAAGCTTGGGCCAGGTATGATAAAACATTAGTATCATACCTAGAAACTACTTATCTAAAACCCCAGATATGTAAGTAGATCAGGAAATGTCTAGGAAGACACGATTAGATTTATCCCTTTTATTTCATTATGGCTTGTAGACGCCTCTGTGCTAACCCCAAGTGCTTTTGTTTTGCTTGTAACCTTTAAGCTGGACCGCAAGATGCTTAATCCTTGTAGTGCTTTTTTTTAAATGTAGCAAAAGCCTAAATTCCCAGATGTATTTTCTTTTTTTATTAATAAAATTTACCTTTTTAAAGAACAGAATTGGATTTTTGTGTCTTAAGAGGTTTGTGCACATGTTGTTTAATTAGCTGGTGGTAACAGCTATTTTTTTTTCTTCTTTCTCAGCTCTTCCCCAGAGGGGGGTGAAAGAGCTTGAGGGAATTCCCAAGTGCACCTTCCTGGGATCTCAAAGGAGTTTTGCACTTGGGTGGTGGCAGCATCTACCAATCCAAGGTTTAAAAAAAAAAAAAAAAAGCTGTAACCTTGGGAGTTTAATACAAGCCTGGAATGGCAGGTATTAATTTTAGAGCCCTTGTGGGCCCCCACTTTCTGCACTCAAAGTGCCAGAGTGGTGAATCAGCCTTGACAACAACTGTGTGTATACTTGGAGATGCCCAGCAGACAATAAGCAATCAGCCTTAATGGTCCATTAGGAAAAAGACAATGAGTCAAGGATGTAGATCGCCCATCTTCCAGGAGTTCCTTCCTGTGGACATTGCAAATAAATCTGGTTTCATGCTTGCTTTAACACTGCAAGGTCAGGTGATAATGTCACCTGGTAAAAAGTGCCACCTTGGACACTGCTGGTACTTTTCCACTGGAAACAAAAGCGGGAAGCCTTATGCACATTCTATTTAAGGCTGGGGAGTAAGGAAAACAGGCCTCCTCTCCACTGCCTTCCTGCCCAAGAAGAAAGACTACTGAAAGTACCTGAGGAGACAAAGGAACTGAGCTGTGGGAAAGGCAAGGGCTGAGTCCAGAGTGAGACATAGGAGTCTAGTCTGTAAAGAGAAATACCTGGGACTCTAAACTACAGAAACTCTGTAACTTGCCTAAGACAACATTTAGAGTGAGAAATTACTTCTTGAAACCAGTCTCTTTAAGATCTTAAGCTTAATATGAATGTTTTGTTTTATTTGCTTAGTAATCTGCCTTGTTCTGTCCGGAGCCCCGGGCCCTTTAAATCACCGCTGGAGTCCTGCCACCACTGCCCCGGGGTAGCGGCGGCAGGGCTCCGGCTGTGATTTAAAGGGCCCGGGCTGACTCCCTGCAGTTGCAGGAGCACTGGGCCCTTTAAATCCCCGCCCAAGCCCGGCTGCCAGAGCTCCGGTGGTGATTTAAAGGGCCCAGGGCTCCTCACAGCGGAATCACCGCCGGAAAAGCCGGTCCAGTCTGGCACGGCGTACCGGCTCTTGCCAGTACACCATGCCAGACGGGACCGGCTTACTTTCACCTCTGTCTACATCGCAAGAGGGTATTATTTTGGGTGTACTTTCCAGAGGGGAGCTGCACTTGAGTTCTGGGTGATTTCCTAGCTGAGTCTTCTCATAGAGAGCTGTTTGCAGACTCTCTGATTCTACAGCTGGTGCCTCCCTACCTGTGTGTGTGTGTGCTGCCATAGGCTGGAAAGCCTAATTCAGAAAAACAGGGAGAGGGAGCCCAGGCTAGTGGAGCAAGCAGGCTCAGTGAAATCCAAGTACATCAGGTGGCATCCCAGAAGAGGGGTCCAACCCGTCACAGGTCCAATAAAAAAATATTACTTCACCCATCTTGTCTCTCTATGCACAACTTACGTATTCTGGTTGATTTTATGAAATTGTTGTATCATTTGTATCATTCAATAGATGTGGAATCCACCATCTGCTGTCAGGATATCTTCAGATCAGGGATAAGGGAGGGTCACCCATTCAAATGGGAGAACCTTAGGACAATGGGTTGGCTGAAGCTGGGAGAACCAGTTTTCTCCAACTTCTCTGCAAGAGACTGAGGTTTGAAGAGTGGAATTGCCCCAGAAGCAGAACAAAGAAATCAGGTGTTAGCATTGTGTCTTAAAAACTACAGAGCCTCAGATATGCAGAGAAAGGATTCACATGAGGAACAAAGGGACAGGCTTTTGGAGGGAGAGCGAATATTTTGATGGCAGTGCCAGCCAAGGTAAAAGGATGCTGGCTGGACTCCAGGGTGGGAAGAGAGAGCAAGAATGAGCACATGCAGATTGACTGAGTCACATGGAAGAGAAGCCTGACCTGGAGGAGTGGAGACCCGAAGAGAGGACCTGGAGCCTTGAAAAGACACTTTTATTTACTGCCATCTAAAGTAAAGTGTGTTTGGTTTTGGACTGCTTTGCATAGCCTGTGCGCCTGTTTGTTTCCACTATCATGTATTCCTGAAGAAATAATTTGTAAGCCAGCCTGCACATATAGTGGAATTCTGGGAAAGAGTGGGAAGGCCAGGGGAGCTGGCCCTAGTCACAGGGCCTAGGCAGTTGCACTGTGGGGTCTCAGCTGGCAGAAAGGGTGTGATACAGGATGTGCACCTTGAGAGTATGCCTAGAGTGCCAAAACCCGGGGGGGAAAATATGGATTTTTTAGTATAGGAAGCTTAAAAAGCACACAAGTGCAGTGTAATCACACTCAAACACAGTAGCCTGGTATTTGTTCAGCAGGGGAAGTTTTAAAGCAGGGTTGCGACACTAGGCATCTCAAATTGGGCCAAAATTAGTGGACTTTTTATGTTAATCTCTTTGTGCCTTGCTTCCCTAGCTGTAACAGGGGGATATCACCCTCTCATCTCAGAGG